GCGCGATTTTTTATTTGACTACCATTCGAATAGTTTCGATCGTCGATTTTTAACAATCGCCGTCTCTAGTGCGATAGCAATATTTCGCCTTTTCCAATTGCCTTTTTACACTTCTCCGGCGGTTTGCGTTCTGGCCAATGTTGGAAGCACGATGACATGACAAATGTTGGACCTCCAACCTTAGGTTTTGCGAAATGAAACCAATGACGTATCGGAATTTTGTAACATTATTTCGCGCTTTGGGATCGTATTAGTGATACCGTGTTGTTTTAAATTGCACTTACGTTTGAGATTATTTGATATTGAAACGCAAACACAAGTCAGTGAAGCTTACATAAATTGGATGAAGAATAAACTGTATTAAAGCTTGTCTATCGAATTTAAATTTATAAATCAAATCACATAATTCAATCTCAATTACAGTCATGTTGAGCGTAATAAGAAAAATATAAAAGCGTTTTGATAAATTATGAAAAGCGAAATAAAAACTTTAAAATCTTGCATCCGAAAAGTAACCAAGTCAGTAGTGCATAAACTAAAATAAATACACCTGAAAGCTTAGGAAGTTAGTAGAAAGCTTGTAGGTAGTGCTATGAAACTGTTTGGGTTTTTCTTCATCGTTTTGGAGCAACCATGTGTGCTCCGAGTGCATTCTTTGTGCGACGCTCGACGCCTCCATAAAAACTAGCGGGAACAGTATCGAGGTGCAGTAAGGAAGGAAAATGGGAGGTTTTGTACCTATTGTGTTTGGCCAATTTGTCCTCGAGAGAGCCATCTAAGTATCTTGTGAAAAAATGTCTTTATTATTTCTTCAACTTTTCCTTTTGCTGTTATTGTCAAATAATATGTTACGGTTAATGTGATAAATTGAAAATTATGAACAATAACCGGTTATTATGAATAATTACCGACAGTCGCGGTAAAAGTGATAAATTAATAACATTTAACAGTGATTATTTAATAATTCAACCGTAGTACTAACAAATAATAGTATAAAAGAGAACAACATCTTGTGTACGTGCTCCTGTACAGTCAAAATTTTTGAACGTTTTGATATCATATATTAATATAATTTGGCATAATGAATTTGGAATGGAAGCCGCCTATTTAGTTTTATACACACATAAATGACCTCATATTAATCACATTTACCAAATCATGAGGTAATTATTTATAATAACCGGCAATTATTCATAATTTTCACATTTATCACATTGACCGTAACAAATACATTTCAAAAAATTCTTCAGAATTTCGTCTATTAATGAAGGTTTTAATTTTACATGAAAATGTTAGCTCATTTTTACCTAACTAACCTCAATTGTATTTGTATTATTGTTTCGATATCAATAAAATTCAGCTAGTTGTATCTACAATATATTGACGTTGTGGGTATTTCCATTCTAACTCTATTGAGCAACAAAGTTTGACAGCTCATAAAAAGTACCTGATTTTAATAGTGTCTAATATCTTGTTTCTTACAACATTTTGTAATTTTAGACATCATTTCTAATATTTATTGTAAAAAATGTTCAAAAATATTTCTTTTACATAAAAGTATGCACCGGGAGTTAATACGACAAAATTAGAGATGCTAATAAGTAATGCTCAATCAATTTATTTCAAACTTTTATTAAGACAAAGATTAAACTGCAAAGTAAGATTAGGTTTATTTAAGAATCCTTTTTAAATTTTTTCCCTATCTCCTTTCAAACAACAATTTCGCGCGCGCCGCCCCCGAAATATAATAAATCGGTTTTGCTCAATATTTTTACTTTCATTTTACCGCGATAGTTTTGTTGTTAACCTTCCAGCGGTCATAATTCAAGGAACAATGGCTCATGTTGTCCAGAAATAGCCGGAAACAAATTCGCTCAAACACTGCGAATGGAATTCGGTGTGTGAGACTTGAGAATTAACACCCCAATACAATAATAATATTATTCTGAAGGCAAGTTTGAAGTTTAGGGTTAATTGACCAAGGGCTGTTGCTTATTGTACCTTAGATAATTTGATAAATTAAGACACTAGAACACGCTGCATAGAAGCATGGGCGTTGTTTCATGAAAAAAGAAGTAATATCAAATATACCGTGCCTGTAAAATTTACCACCAATTTTTAACACCATTAGCACTTAATAAGCTATGAAGGTAAAATAGCTTTATGGAGTGAATCAACAAAGCATAGCCAAAGAATTATATGAAATCGGAATGAAGAAAAAACCTGAAAAAAGCTTACCTCCTCTAGAAATTACCGATAAAATAAAAGGAAACTAGTTTGAACAAATTGTATCCATCGAGAGCTGAATAATCCGCACCCAAAGATATCGACGCAACGAACAAAATTGCAAACTGCAAGTTTTGAAGTCGTTAAAAGAATACTTGTTCAATTAAAACTTTCCGCCGCACGAATAGTAGTAAATATGCGGAGTTACCTGATACACGTATAACTAACGTCTTTACTTCAGACATTCTTCGCGATTCGTTTACTAACTATAAAAATTAAATTAAAATAAAGTTTGTAACAGTAATCTTGGTTAGTTTGCTTTAACGCTTTAGTTCGGAAAAATAACTCTTAGGCTGGGTTGCACCATCTAACTTTGACTTAGACAAACGTCAAAAATCTGTCAAACTCCATGCAAAAAGCACCGGTTATCGTTAAAGTAACGGTCAAAGTTTGGTGGTGCAACTCAGCCTTAGATTTAAACTTATTTGTGACTGAACGAAAAGCTTATAAGTTAGTGATTTTGGCAAATGTTTGGTCACATAGGTAAACAATATGTTATTCATAGAACCAAATCAAATTCATATCAATGTACGTTTTACATCAGTAAACAAAATAAATACATATTTTTATTAAAAACAAATACTAAAATATGTTATCAAAATTTCGAAACAAAATAGACAAATCAAATCTAAGTTAAAATAATAACCCAGCCGGTTGATTAAATACCTGAATGCGAGCTCTATTAGCGGCGAACAGTTAAAATAATACCAGCGCATTGTTTCCACGCGAAAGAGCTGAAATTTTACAACGGCTGACCCTCTTACAAAGAATTTAATACCCGCTCGACTGAAATGGTACCATTTTGAAACATACCGGTGTAACTGAATCTGTTTCGACTTCATAGTTGGCTGCACTGAATCGATGCCGGCAAATAAAAACAGATAGCACATGAAGATTTGTTGTGAAAAGAAATGTGAAGTGAATACTCGCATCCAGTGTGCTTACCATGAGTTTACGTTAAAAGTGTGCTCGCTAGCGAATACGTCAAAAAACCTACGAAGATTTTATTTCTTGAAAGTAGCCACCAGGGGCGTTGCACAATATGTCATATTTTTACGCAGTCGCTAGCGAGCACATCTAACGTAAACTTACGGTAACCACACTGAAGCGGCTGAATACTGAAACAGCGTTGAAAAATCTCTGTCGCCGATGGCAAAACGGGGCTTGTCCTAATGTAGGGAAATTGTCGTCACAGCCTTTCAGCGTCCGGCCATTGCTATCATTCCAAGATAAGCGTTTAAAAGCCTCATGGAAAACGCTTTCAGCAACGGACTATTACAAACTGCTACTTTTTGCTCGGCTTTCCATCTGCCGTTATATCTCGTGCTCCGACTCGATCGGAATCTACCTTTATTAGTGTCGGATTTCGAATTTTTATTTGACACAAAGTTCAGCCTTTTAATTGCGGTAAGAGCTATCTGTGCCTCTACCATGAGTTTACCTACCGAGCATCTCGCTATCGAGGGCGTAAAAAAATGTATGGCAAATTGTACAGCGCCTCTAGCGGTTAGTAGCTGAACCACAGCAAAACTAAAAACACTACCATGAGTTCATCTCAAATCGTTAGGTAAAAAACCTATCTAAATGAATACGATAGCGACTAAAGTTTTTATTAAGTTTCATACAAATAACTTACCATGAGTTGCAATTTTCAAAGATGTCATCGAAAAATACCTTAGCTGTCACAGTAACGTAACTCACTGGCTTATTGACGTGTGAAAAGCAAAATAAAATTGTGGTTTTAGGTCATTTTAGGTGTTTTCTTTATTAAATTATGTCGGAAAGAAGTTTATTACGATGGAACATGTTATCAGCATGTGGGCAGACCTCCCACTAGGTGGACCGACGATCTGGTGAAGGTCGCGGGAAGAACCTGGATGCGGGCACATTGTGGAGATCCTTGGGGGAGGGAGAGGATGCTGCGTTTCCCAGAGATATGCGAGGGAATTGTGTCGTGCGAAGATGTCTAGCTGTGCTGTGAAAATGTGTGCGGGTTTCCACCAAAGCTGTGCGAGGAAAATGTATCGTACGAGGATGTGTAGCAGAGATTTGAAAATGCTCATTAGTGTTGTACAGCCTGAGCCTTTTCTACCAGAGATGTGCTGACCGAGGCGAGGTAAATGAAGCGATTCTATTGGTTCTTTACAAACACATCCTTCGCTACGCATCCTCGCACATCTCTGGTGGAAACGCAGCCTTACGAGATCATGATAGAAAGCTAATCCGACAATGAATATGTATTTTCATAAGTTGAAATTTACTTTTGTTTTTAATCAGTCTGTGTATTATGTACCTATTAGGTTTTGTGAAATAAATAGTCAATAAAAATTAATCATTTTATTTTCAACTAGCTTTTGCCCGCGGCTTCGTCCGCGTGAAATTTAGTTTGTCACAGATCGTCATAATTATAGCCTATATGTTAATCTGGGTTATAAACAATAATACTGTAAAGTTTCATCAAAATCCGTTCAGTAGTTTTTGCGTGAAAGAGTAACAAACATCCAGACATCCAAACTTTCGCATTTTTAATATTAAGTAGGATATTAGTAGGATATGTATTTACTTAATTATTATTACTGACGAGATTGCTACCATGTATGTTTAGTGACCATGAAAGATTAAAACAATATAATGTATTTAATTAATTATAATATCTTAAGTTTTACAATAATAAGGTAGGTATATCCATCCAGTTACCCTAGGTCTTTATTATGGATTTAATTTACAAGTAGTTATTTACAAGCACTCTGCTCTAAATCCTTTGGCTTCAGGGAAGAACCTGGACCGCCACCAGTCCAGTGTTCCCTTGGCAGCTCTTTGTATGCGAGTTGCCTTCTTCTTGCTGTTTAAAGTCACTCCACACCTTAACAAATAAACATTACAAATAATAATGACGAAATAAGATAAAAGCAATCAAAATGAATAAAGTAGTAGGTATTTATACACACTTTTCTCAATTTCTCAGTAGTTTTCGTGTCGCCGGTGGCATCAGCATTTCACGTTCGCGTGTCCGTTAGTTCCACCCACCGTTGACTATTGTTGGCTCTTTCTTGGGGCCCTTCAGTGGGCATACTCAGATCGCCATATCTATAGAAAAACAACTTTATTGTATCTAGAAAATATAAATCTAGCACTCATATTACTGAATTTTAGCTAGGCACGTGGAAGTTATGCTGGAAAGGTTGTATTTCTCCAAAAAAACCAGCTCAAAATTATTCGTTTAATTTCGAAATTCCTCCACTACATAGTATGTTTAATTTTACTTAACTTACCTTTCTATAAATTCTACAATCGGTTTAAACGGATAGCCGCAAGTTCTCATTGTCCTATCCTGGTTAAAATCCAATTTTTTGTGGAAAATTATTCATCAATAATCCTTCAACAAAACATGTTTATTTGTCTGTTGTCATGACAACAGTTGCGTCAAAGTCGCAATGACAAGAAATAAACAATTCAAATTTAAAATCATCATGTCAATTCAGCTTTAAGCACTGTTCTAGGACACTTAAATTTTGCTGTGTTATTTTTGACATTTTCGTTATTTCCTACTCTATCTTTTCTATATAGTTAGAAAGGAGCGGCATTCGTTCTTTCATTCATCCATTCATAGAGTGTGAAGTTGGATACGTTAACATGCTCACCAACATGACATCAAAAAACCATCGAATTATCGCTAGCGAGTAAAGTATACGGTAATTGAACTCATGGTATGATTTTAATGCAAACTTCATCGATCCACGTTTAAACTCTATCGACTGTAGTATACGAATACAAGTTTTCGATGGCAACTCATGGTAGAGGCACTGCTCGTATTTTCGTGCTTTTACACGAGCTTTCAAGCTTTGACTTATCCCTATCCGTATCCATTCGGACGTTCCGATTAATAAAAGTGTGCTTTTACCTGGTCAAATGAAAAACTCGTCGTTAGGAATGCACTCGGGCATTCATATTTGCCGTGGGTATTTCGCAATGTTTTATTTAACTTCGCTGGTTCCTCTTAGTTTCGTATAGAGTTCAGTCACACAGTACATTTTTAATCCGGGATAACGTGAATCGTCAAAGCTTGCCTGTTATTAGACGGCTTTAAAAGGTAAAAACAACCCAATAAAGTTATTGCATTAGGTTACAGAGGGCTCTAGCGGGTGGGGCGCCTTATTTTGGCTCATAATTTTAGATTTTTATGATCATTTAAAAGGGGCTAAGGGTCACAAGCCGCTACAAATCAAACGGCATTGGCTGTTATTTGTATACAGACCTTTTCTTTTTTATTACTATTGTTGTGTAGTTTTATTTTATTACCTGAATGGCTAAGTAATTGGTAAATATAAATGCTTTAGAAATAACCATTTCATGTGTGATTGTTTCACTTAGTCGTTGTTACATTACAGCGGCCGATGTCTTGACTCGCTTACTATAAGAATACTCAATACTCAATACTCAATTCTTTATTGCATCCATAATGTTACAGAGGTGGTAATCATCATTGATACATCGTTGAAAGAATAATTTCAAACTTACGTTCCCGTAAACAATGTGGAATCGTTTTGTCTACTACTTTTCACTGCAATCGACTCGAAGCCAATTCAGCGTCCAGAACTGTGCCTCTACCATGAGTTGCCATCGAAAACTTGTATTCGTATACTACAGTCGATAGAGTTTAAACGTGGATCGATGAAGTTTGCCTTAAAATCATACCATGAGTTCAATTACCGTATACTTTACTCGCCAGCGATAATTCGATGGTTTTGTGATGTCATGTTGGTGAGCATGTAAACGTATCCAACTTCACACTCTATGAATGGATGAATGAAAGAACGAATGCCGCTCCTTTCTAACTAAATAGAAAAGATAGAGTAGGAAATAACAAACATGTCAAAAATAACACTGCAAAATTTAAGTGTCCTAGAACAGTGCTTAAAGCTGAATTAACATGATGATTTTAAATTTGTATTGTTTATTTCTTGTCATTGCGACTTTGACGCAGCTGTTGTCATGACAACAGATAACAAAACATGTTTTGTTGAAGGATTATTGATGAATAATTTTCCACAAAAAATTGGATTTTAACCACGATAGGAAAATGAGAACCTGCGCCTATCCGTTTAAACCGATTGTAGAATTTATGGAAAGGTAAGTTAAGTAAAAATAAACATACTATGTAGTGGAGGAATTTCGAAATTAAACGAATAATTTTGAGCTGGTTTTTTTGGAGAAATACAACCTTTCCAGCATAACTTCCACGTGCCTAGCTAAAATTCAGTAATATGAGTGCTAGATTTATATTTTCTAGATACAATAAAGTTGTTTTTCTATAGATATGGCGATCTGAGTATGCCCACTGAAGGGCCCCAAGAAAGAGCCAACAATAGTCAACGGTGGGTGGAACTAACGGACACGCGAACGTGAAATGCTGATGCCACCGGCGACACGAAAACTACTGAGAAATTGAGAAAAGTGTGTATAAATACCTACTACTTTATTCATTTTGATTGCTTTTATCTTATTTCGTCATTATTATTTGTAATGTTTATTTGTTAAGGTGTGGAGTGACTTTAAACAGCAAGAAGAAGGCAACTCGCATACACAGAGCTGCCAAGGGAACACTGGACTGGTGGCGGTCCAGGTTCTTCCCTGAAGCCAAAGGATTTAGAGCAGAGTGCTTGTAAATAACTACTTGTAAATTAAATCCATAATAAAGACCTAGGGTAACTGGATGGATATACCTACCTTATTATTGTAAAACTTAAGATATTATAATTAATTAAATACATTATATTGTTTTAATCTTTCATGGTCACTAAAAATACATGGTAGCAATCTCGTCAGTAATAATAATTAAGTAAATACATATCCTACTAATATCCTACTTAATATTAAAAATGCGAAAGTTTGGATGTCTGGATGTTTGTTACTCTTTCACGCAAAAACTACTGAACGGATTTTGATGAAACTTTACAGTATTATTGTTTATAACCCAGATTAACATATAGGCTATAATTATGACGATCTGTGACAAACTAAATTTCACGCGGACGAAGCCGCGGGCAAAAGCTAGTTGAAAATAAAATGATTAATTTTTATTGACTATTTATTTCACAAAACCTAATACATAATACACAGACTGATTAAAAACAAAAGTAAATTTCAACTTATGAAAATACATATTCATTGTCGGATTAGCTTTCTATCATGATCTCGTAAGGCTGCGTTTCCACCAGAGATGTGCGAGGATGCGTAGCGAAGGATGTGTTTGTAAAGAACCAATAGAATCGCTTCATTTACCTCGCCTCGGTCAGCACATCTCTGGTAGAAAAGGCTCAGGCTGTACAACACTAATGAGCATTTTCAAATCTCTGCTACACATCCTCGTACGATACATTTTCCTCGCACAGCTTTGGTGGAAACCCGCACACATTTTCACAGCACAGCTAGACATCTTCGCACGACACAATTCCCTCGCATATCTCTGGGAAACGCAGCATCCTCTCCCTCCCCCAAGGATCTCCACAATGTGCCCGCATCCAGGTTCTTCCCGCGACCTTCACCAGATCGTCGGTCCACCTAGTGGGAGGTCTGCCCACATGCTGATAACATGTTCCATCGTAATAAACTTCTTTCCGACATAATTTAATAAAGAAAACACCTAAAATGACCTAAAACCACAATTTAATTTTGCTTTTCACACGTCAATAAGCCAGTGAGTTACGTTACTGTGACAGCTAAGGTATTTTTCGATGACATCTTTGAAAATTGCAACTCATGGTAAGTTATTTGTATGAAACTTAATAAAAACTTTAGTCGCTATCGTATTCATTTAGATAGGTTTTTTACCTAACGATTTGAGATGAACTCATGGTAGTGTTTTTAGTTTTGCTGTGGTTCAGCTACTAACCGCTAGAGGCGCTGTACAATTTGCCATACATTTTTTTACGCCCTCGATAGCGAGATGCTCGGTAGGTAAACTCATGGTAGAGGCACTGTTCGGATCGCGTAATAAACACTGTCAAAATAATAATTATTTGTTCAATCTCTAGACGGGGAAGTGGCCTTTGGAGAAAGAGGTACCTCCTTGCACTTGCTGCATTTGCCTAAATTCGAACTTATTTTGATTCTACTCTATAGATTGAACTCTAATATTTGATAAAGATCTCAAGATTACGAGTAAATATAAAATCGAATTGTTTCGTCTGCGCTTTAATCGACTCGCGCAAAGAGTTTGTCCAAAGCAATTCAGATCGCGTATAAAAAAATTGTCGGAACAATGATTCTTTGTTCATCTCTAGGCGGGGAAGAGGCCGTTGGGTCGGGAGGGGGGAGGGGGTACTTGCAGTGCATTGCTGCACTTGTCTAATTATCGTTTAGGAACTTAAATTGATATATCGCCGCAAGAATAATCTCAAAATTACGAGTACCTAACTACAGCATCGAATCGTTTCGTCAGCAATGGACTCGCGCAAAGCGTTTGTCCAAAGCAGTTCAGAGGTCTTAGTGTGAGTTTACTTACATCAAACGTCATCACTAGCGAGCGCGTCAAAAATATATGAAGATTTTAGTTTTTTAAAGTTTCCGCAATGTCACTTTTTTACGCAGTCGACATCAAATTCAAATATTTATTTGCACAATTTTGGGTAAACATAGTGGTCTTAAAACTAGTATAGTAGATCGCCAAATTTTGCTGTGTAATTAGTCAGCGTACAAATATTTAAATAATTTCTACAAGAATAAATTACAAATATTATGTCATTTACTACATGAAAATAATTAAATATGTGAGAAATAGAAAAAATAAAACAATGTCAAAACAATCAAAATAAATTAAATCAAACAATAAAATAATGTCATTAAAAGAATAATTAAAAATAAGTAATAAATGTCATTTTCGATTGAAATATTCATTCATAGTATAAAAAGTATTATTCATAGTATCGAATGCGTTTGACGTAAAACTCACACTACGCCGTCAGATCGCGTATTAAAAAATTGTCGAAACAATGATTCTTTGTTCATCTCTAGGCGGGGAAGAGGCCGTTGGGTCGGGAGGGGGGAGGGGTACTTGCAGTGCATTGCTGCACTTGTCTAATTATCGTTTAGGAACTTAAATTGATATATCGCCGCAAGAATAATCTCAAAATTACGAGTACCTAACTACAGCATCGAATCGTTTCGTCAGCAATGGACTCGCGCAAAGCGTTTGTCCAAAGCAGTTCAGTGTGCCTACCATGAGTTTACGTTAGGTGAGCTCGCTAGCGAATACGTCAAAAAATTCTATGACGATTTTATTTCTTGAAAGTAGCCGCTAGGGGTGCTGCACAATATGTCATACATTTAAATGTCATTTTTTTACGCAGTCGCTAGCGAGCACACCTAACGTAAACTCATGGTAGGCACACAGAGGGCTTAGTGTGAGTTTACATCAAACGTCATCACTAGCGCATCAAAAATATATGAAGATTTTAGTTCTTTAAAGTTTCCGCAATATCACTTTTTTACGCAGTCGACATCGAATGCGTTTGACGAAAACTCACACTACGCCCTCAGTGTGCCTACCATGAGTTTACGTTAGGTGTGCTCGCTAGCGACTGCGTAAAAAAATGTCATTTAAATGTATGACATAATGTGCAGCGCCCCTAGCGGCTACTTTCAAGAAATAAAGTCTTGATAGAATTTTTTGACGTATTCGCTAGCGAGCTCACCTAACGTAAACTCATGGTAGGCACACAGATCGC